TGGGATGTACCTGCATCACAGAGTTGATGTTCACTCGAGATCTCGAACCCAGAGTAATAAATGTTGAAATAAAGCCAGAACAAATATTGATGCAGAATAATATGAATTCATTATATTTCGAGGTTTCTCGTCAGCTGCTTACAAACAAGTATACATCAGAATTTACATTGAGATAAGAAATATTGTGGAACAATTGACATAAGTGAATGTAAAACAGCGGAATGACTAAGGTTATCAATGATAACTATATATATACATATGTGCAAGAACAGGTCAGAGGTTATTTGGTGTTTAGAATCAAGGAAACATTTGGTTGTAAGCAGCTGACGAGAAAACTCGAAATATAATAAATTCATATTATTCTGCATCAATATTTGTTCCGGCTTCATTTAAATTCATAATGGGAATTAATTGCATGTAATAAATGTTTGTTACATATTTGTTTTTGCTTTTTTTAAATTCTCTATGACCATATGGATATTAATTATAGGAATTACACTTGAATTTATTCCCTTTTGAAATTGTATCATTAGTAATATCTGAATATCTTTGTTTATAAATATTTCGAATTAAAATGAAATCTGTGATTCATTTCTTATCTGATGTCAAACAATAAATTGTTTACAAAATTTTTTTTTAAAGATTTATCAGTGTCCACAAGAAAACAAGAATGAAGTGAACAGGTTTATCAACAACAAAAAACAAAAAACTTGAAGAAAGTTAAACATCAAACGAACTTATTTAATATAGTAGTAATAATAATGTACTTGAGTTACTTATACCTATATAAGTAGTATATGATTGTGGTCAGGCATAGAATGTATTTCAGAAGAAGATCGATAAGGAAAGAACGGAAACAGGATGCAATTGATATGACAATGCATGAACAATGAAATCTGAGGCAATGGACTGATATTAGCAAAGGGAACAGTCAAGTTTGAGACGATGGATTGATATTTTGCAAATTAACTACTCACCATATAATTCTCAGATTTTATTGAGGTGCTCTGTAATTTCGTGTCATCTATATTCGATTGTCCCCACTGGTTTTCTTGTTCACTACAATAACATCAAGGAAGAATCTTATTGATGATGAAATACTTACACTTTGATTTATAGGTTTAATATGGTTACAATAATTAAATGAGGTCAATAAGTAACTGATAAAATTTAAAAGAATAATACAAATGATAAGTGTATTAAAGTAATGTGTATTTGTAAAAATAGAAGTGTGACCATATTTAGGTCATGATTATATATTCTATTAAATTATATGTATATACATATATATAATGATAATCTTATGAGAAATAAATTTTAATTAGCAAAACAACAACACACACACTTAGTTAATAGGTCAGATTATAATGTATAATTTAGTAAGTTATTCGCTGTAAGGCTAACCATAATTACTTTGGATATACTTTTAAACTCTTATATTCATTAGCATATATGTTCTTTTCTTAATGTTAGGTTCAATGTTAAACTAATAATTAGTTACTTTTACTGAGTTACCATTATCGGATGAATATTGTTCGATATCTGTTTATATGGAACTATCATTTGATTAATTTTTATTAAGAATAGTAAAAATAAGTAGTTTATACGTTTTAAATAAAAAAATAACTTGAAGGGGAAAACGAAGATATTGATTCTCTACTTTATAGTGTATACCTTTATGTTTCTTTCTTTCGTTTTTAATGTAGTGTACAGTAAATACGTTAATTACAAAGTATTTTCCAATATGTTTTGTGAGTTTATGAAAATCTGTCTCAAAATACAAGTCATTATTAGAAGTTTTGATCTTGATTATGTTTTATACAGATATTGTGTTCTCATTCACTACATTTCGACTGATCATAGGAGTAAGACTATATACTGTTTACATGTTAGTTATTAAAATGTAGAAATCTATTTATTATTAACATATAATTTAACGTTTGAGTTTTGTAAAAGTCAATCATTAAACGATTTATACTAGTTGAGATATAATAATTTCTGGATACTTTACATTTGTTGACTTCTTATCAAGAACGCTTGGAGCATGTTTAGTAAAGCCTTACTTATTTAGCTTAACAGTGATTTCATTTTCGCTTATTAGTATTCGTATTCTACAAAACTTATTGGTATCGAAATAATCTTGTGCTTTACCATCTTGACTACGTATGACGCATTGAACCAAAAATGTGAAATTTAATATCCAGAATAATACCATATGGTTTTCTCATATTTCGAAATTCACACGCACACACATACATATATAGATACTCAATACGCTTCATGAGGGTTTTCTATTTCAGACATTTGACTGTCTATCAGATTTTATAACACACTAGTATGCAAGTGTAGACAGGGTTAGTTAAACGAATTTTTTTTAAATCACTGCTGTGTACGTAAGGAATTTTTTTATTCATGTATATGGCTTTCAAAAAGAAGGAAATATGAAATCGTTAATTATATTTTGATTTAATGAGCAACAATTAAACATTAAAATCAGGCTGTAATGCTTTAGGATAGTGAATAACTTACAGCATAAAATTCGTCTTACAAATAACTGACCACTGAGTACTAACCGATTTTCTGTTTATCTAGTCTTTTAGCACTGATCGAGACCTACCTGTAATCTCAAGTGATCTGATGTTTCCTATAGAAATCATGTCCTCATCACCCAACTTTACGGGCTATGTCAGTGTTGAGCAATTCTAGTCACATCTGACTCCATGTGGGACTGAAACATTTACCACTGATTGATCATTGAGTATAAAACACCAACTACCTAAAATCATGTGTTTTTTAAAGTGAGTTTTATCCATCTTTATTTCGCATCAAATATCATTCACATAATTGTGTGAAACTGTTATGTAAAACAATAACTATTTGATTATGAAATATTCCGTGATCCAATATTCAACCACTTGAAACATTGCTTATTTATGTTTTGTTAGAGGTCATCAGTCGGCCACACGAATCATTCCACAATTCATGTGGGACATATTTTTGTTACAACATGAATAATCTAGAATGAGCTTATTTTTATGGTGAACAAAGCATGAGTTGATAGCAATTTTCGGTCATAAACTAACGTAACACAAACGAACTCTATTTCGATTCATAAAAACTCATATCTCTTTATCTAACAAAGAAGATAGAAGTCAATAATATTGTAATTTTATCGTATTCATTCAATAATTAGTAAATGCTTATCGGTTCAGTTATAATAAAAATGTAAACTACTGTTCGAAAAGTGGATATAAAGTTTTAATACACTTTTGACTAATTTATCAAATGATATAATTGTACCCCAAAATAAATATTATTATTACCACGTTGGTTTTTTAGCATTTCAAATGGACAACTGTTAACAAATTTAAAGATTAAATATAGTTTTAGGTAGTTCGGTTCACAAAACCCAACCCGAACATCTGTTGCTTGTAAATGATTCGAATTTTAATGAATAAACTAGTTAGAATCAAAATAATTAAACATTTAAAGTAAATTAGTCTGTAGATTCTATGTTTACTTGTATCTCAGTCATCCTTTCAGTAAACATAATTAAAACCAGGTGGCTGATGATCATGCATGTACGGTAAGTATTTTATCATAATTGAATTAAAGTCACTTTTAAACCAAATAGATTTATAACATGTATTACCCATGAGTGTGGTTACTAGGTGCAATCTGTTCCACTATGTATAAAAGCCACGTCACTATGTTAAAATGGATCAACGAGATTAATCTGGAGTTAGATAATTAAGTTAGTAAAAAGTGAACTAAAATATATAGAATTTTGAATTCAAAAGAATGAATGTGTATACGAAATATACGAAAACCAAATCACAAATCTAATATGTGATACCTCCAGTGGAAACAACGTTAAAGTCGCTCTTGGAAAGGAATCAGATGGAAGATAACATTTTTTCCCAATTACTAACACACATTCACAAGGTATCGACATATAGCTTGTACAGTAGTTTGTAATTAATGAAGGATAAAGCAAATGCTGTGAATTTTCATAAATTTGTAAGTAGCATTGATTTGTGGATGTGGCTATTGATTTATTTGAGGGTTAACTAAAATTTATCATAGTTGACAACTCGGACAAAAATTCCTTAAAAAACCATTAAAAACCAGGAAATACTGGAAAGCCTTTTCGTTCTGGAAAAAGACTCCTCAAAATTATTCATCCACAAACCCAGCACAGAGAACCGAGCTCAAAACGTTAGGTTTTGCATGCGAACTCTTGACCCCCTAACCGCTGAGCTGGCACACACTGGTTTAGTAATATTACGAGTGAACCAATGTTAAGCATTTAAACACTGGATATCAGCGCAAGAGTTATAAGGTTAGGATTTTGCTCGTAAAACTGAGTCTCAAGCTCAGTTGTTTGTAGAAGCCTAATAACCTCCAAAAACTTCATATAGTGATCAAAAATCTTTATCTCTTTAATTATTGCACTGACCGCTGTCTAAATGTCCCTTTAATTACCTATTTAAAATCTGTTTTGTACAGTTCTTAAGAGAATTTATTTCTATATTGTTTTATGCTTAATTGTACTTACTAACACGGAAATCTGACTTTTGATACTGTCTTATCATTTTGTCAGCTTGTTAGTATTACAAACTGCATGACAATTTAATTTAGACATGTTTAAATCAAATACGCTTTGCTTTAAGACAGAACGATTCCGAAATTTTGTTTTCCGACTTTGGTTTTTTGATACTTTAGAGTTATGAATGCTTTCCAAAAGTTTTTGTTCTATAATAAATATATCTTTCGGATCAAAATGTTCTTTATGAGTACTAAAAACTCAATTCATGTATTTACGCATATTTCATCAATAGTTTTAATGAAAACAATGATTACGATATTTTTAATGACCAATCAAAATTCAATATAATTGGCCAATCAGGTACAAGAAAGATTGACCAATAATAATTCTATAAAATCATTACTTTAAAACTAAAATTATTAATATTTTTATTCAATTAAATTGGAATTATAAAATAGTTTTGTTTAAGATGTATTGTATTTGTTAAATATTCCTTAGTAAAGAAAGATGCCTTCTTACGATCCAATGGATTGCATAGCCCACTTGTTACTGACAATTTATTAAGAAATTTGAACGTATGTTTCAACGTACATTATTATTGTAAAACTGAGAACAGTTGAACTTGATTTGATTTGCAATACTTCATAATAGTTTCTGATCTAAGTCAATATTTATATATACAGATTCCTTTATGTTTAGTAAGTGCTTAGTTGGATTTTTTACATAACAAAACAAATAACTGGCCAGTCATAATGAAATGAAAAAAAAGATCAGATGATTAGAATTCTATTATATTTATATAAACGTTATTTAATTGGCTATGTAAACTTTTTAAATCATCACATTCAAATATTGTATGTTTTATTCAATTTTCATACAAGTTTACACATAGTTTTAGGATAATTCTAATGATATGTGCATTATTATTGTCAAAAATAATTGATTACATTTTTGATAGGATGCAAGTATCCGATTGATATTTGTTATCCACTTGGATATATACGTAGTAGAAGATATGTGGAACTGGATTTGGATATTATATTACATTTTATGGATAAACAGCATGTATTTGAGCATAGTAAGTTTCGCAAAAACTAAAAAAATTACTACTTTTTTATAGTGTATCTTAAATATTTATTATAAAACATAGTTTATGTATACGCCAATTATAAGATCACTATTTTCTTCGAACTATTGTCTATCTGTAAGCTCAATTATTCATGATCCACATATGTCACGTCTAATCTGTGCAACAATTTTGTAACCTAAAGATACTATCACTTTCTTGAACATTAGAAAAAATTGTTCTTATACACAATGAGCTACTTCATTCTCTACAACATCTAAACGTTAATTACTTAAGCTACAAGAAATTACTGGTTATTTGAGGTGTCTTACCTTAAGACATTCCCATTCTCAAGTAAGGATTCAGTAAAAAAAAGTATTTACTGGACAAATGACATTATGAATTTGATAAAAATGCGTTTTAGCATGTTTAGAAACGATGAAATGGAATATAATCCAAGTGAAACTTTGTTTTTATATTAGTGTTAAACAGTTATTCACTCAAAAATGAATGTTCATTATATGAGCTGCCCACTAAAATTTTGATTAGAAACATGATGTGTGTTCACATTTTATTTAGCTGTAGTTTCAATAAATGTTTTGCATTAGTTAAAACATTAAAGTTTCAGTTACTCCGTCATTACACCAATCGTTTTACAGTAAATAAACTAATGTTAGATTCATCAACTAAATTAAGCACAAAACAACATGATTCGTTCTCTTACTATACAGTATAAACCATACTAAAACGAAACGGTCGTCCAGTGCTTCCAGGTTTTCAATGGTGGTCTAAAATCCATCGATTCATGATCTCAATAAAAAATTTAACAATATTCACAACCTTACACTGATATACAATAAAATCTTTTCTGAATATAAAATGGTCTATAAAGACTGGATGAACTATGTAGTAATAAAGACATATTCAATTTTTTTATAATATTGATCTTCATGAATTAATGTGAAATAAATGATCAGGTATGTAATCAAGATATTTAAGAATGAAGTCGATTACAGTCATTGAGGTATCATAATCCATATTATTGAGTTAATCAAAATTGTAAATTATAGACAATACTTCAGCTTTATCTTCGTATCAGAATTAGTGTTTTAAAACATTTTGTATAGAATCTTCAAAACTATTTATTAGTATAAATTAAATGAAGTGATATCATTATATGTGAAAATTATATTTGAAATAATCTCAGCGATTGGGATTTAAATAATTCCAATGTTTCGTCCGGCTAACTCGTCTGACCTTCTTCAGGGTAATAATGAAAATCAAATTCAAACTATTCATTCTAATCTTGACGAATATTTCCTATAAATGAAATGAATGTTCTGTAACAATGGGGTGAATTTAAATTCACTTGGTGTTGTTTGGCTTGTATCTTCCCATGTATGCAGGTACATCCAGCCGAAGAGTCCCAAATAGGACAAAAAGCACGTCCTGAATTCCACTGCTAGCCACTATCCAACATTGTTTTCAAAAAGCTTGTGAATTAAGGCAATATCGAGGCATAAGCACAGTATGCACATATGCCAATAACAGACTGATCAATTGCAGTCTTAAACGTCAATGGGAGGGTACAAGCCAAACAGTACCAAGTGAAAAACTGTTTTGATTTGGTTTTATATTGAGATGTTAGATTGAAATATCAAAGCTGCTAGAAAAAAAATTAATGAAAACTTGTTAGTTATTGTCTATTAGTTTTAACACAATAAAAGAGAAACAATTAGTAGCTAACATAGATCTAATTCAAAAGTTGAAAAATATTCGATTATTATTTATTGGCATTGAAATTAGGCGGGAAAAGCCGAGCGATTTCCATGATAGATTTGTTTGTCATTTAAACTTTATTGATTATTTATTTCGACTGTTACTGACCTTATATGGATACTTTAAGGACGATCATTAATAATACCGAGGGTGTAACTGATAATATTTGATGATTTTTATCGACGGAAGATTTTTCAAGTAAAATTTTATCGTATTGCAAAAACTAGTAGTTATTTGGACTGTGTAGTTAAATGAGTAACGCGATGGCGTTTGAAGCAAGCTGTACTGGTTTCGAGTTCTCGAGTAAACATAAACTCTGAGTTGAGGGTACATCCTAGCTGAAAAGTCCCAAATAGAATGAAACGCGCGTTCTAAATTCTACAGCTAATTGCCAACCCTATCTGCTTATAATGCAAATGATGTTTTGTTTGTTTACGGATAAAATAACGTTACAAGAATAAAAGATATACAGTATCCAATAGATTCTGGTATTTTTCTTAATAACTGATGTTCATTTCATACTTGTATTATTTTTCAGCTATCATTGAAATTATTTAAAGTTTAAATCAATCATTTCGAAATTCTTTATATCACTTTTTCCAATTACTCAATAGTAACAACTCACTTGGCAGCAATTTAATCCGCCCACACAAACACATAAACATGTTTGTTGACATATCACAATTTGGTATTTGTCTTTGAAGGCATATTTGAGGAAATAAATTTCTGATCTAAATTATTTGTTCTTTCACTCCACAATTATTGATATTTTAAGATAATATCAGTAGAGAAAAAACTGTAACTTAGTAATGTTTTAAAATTACTTTATGAAAATATATGTACAGTAGTCCGTTAACAGATGGCCCGAGAACAATTGCCAGTTACTATACTATGTGAAGTAAATTTCGTAACCCTAATGTGACATTATTTTTTTAAAATTTAATTCACTAAATATAATTTTGTGTGTCAAGTGAACGGTTTAGGCTTAAGTCTATTCTCAACGATTCTATTTTATCTATTACACTGTAATAGAAAAATTTTCGAAATTAAGAATAAACCCGTAAACATTATGTTAGGCGTGTACAGGATGAGAAGTACGATAAACGATGAGTAAGCATTTTGATGGTAATTATTTTTACACAACTGCTTCAAGCATAACGATAATAGTTTGGAAATAAACCCAGTATTGTTTTCTATGAAATTACCACTTCGGTAACTAAGATTCCTTTAGATAATAAACGATCTTCTTGTATGTTTCTCATAGGCGTCTCATCAACAAGATATCTCGGCTATCGAATTACTTAACATAATGAATCCTTTTATTTACCAGAACGGAACAGAATTATATGAAGAGTAAAAAGTTGAGTGGTTATAGTTCAGTTCGGAAACTGATTCTACGCGTAGTAAAATAAAAATCATTCCAGTTTCAAAACAAAGACTCTAGAACTTCTGTTAATTGTAAATAACATTCAAATTGAATGTATTATGAATAAAACTTACAATACTACACACGTATTTAGAAATGGGTAAAAATAGTTTTTTAAATCATAGTGTTCTTGTAATAATGCTGTGTGCGCTACTTATGATGACAGATATAAGTAGTATGTAGCAGGAATTGGAAGTGGAATGCTTACGAGAGAAAGATTGAAATAAAAAGAACAGGAGGGAAAACAGTGAGCACTAGAATTGGAAGAATGATGAGTTATATTAGGGGAAACTCAAGAAAAATGTACAAATAATGTATTCAATATATGGTTTTCATATTTTACAAAAGATCTGTATGAGTTTGCGTAAAATAATAAGTTGATCTACCTTAACTTAGTTTTTTACACTACAGCGAAAATCACTGGTTTAACCAGGATAACTATGGTAGGTTTTTTAAATCTTAAAACAACTAGTTAGAAAAAAAGGAAAGTAGGTGAACATATCAACATTATTAAACACACTGGTAACATCTTTTAGGATTCAAATCTTCCGTTGAGTTATTCTAGGTAATTTGGTGCCTTTACAAACCAACTTAAACTATAAAAGCTTATATGTAAGTTTAGGTCTGAACAATACCACAACAATACCATCACATAAAAATGATTCATAATTTTAGGATTTTTTTAAACATAAACATAAACGAAATGGTTAATGTGTAATGTTTGACATGAAGTTTCTTTGCTTATGACTGACCAACTTTAGTGGTTGTACATCTGAAAATTATGTTTTTGGTAGAAAATAGTCAGTTCAGTTAATCACGCTGTAGATTTTTAGTTTATTTTATATCAGTTTACTTTGTCGTTTTCTTCCCGTTCATCACTTTTGAGTTGAAGAAAATGGTACTATTTTAATAGACAAATAATTCCCACTTAAAAACCACCTTTACATATTATAACATAAACATTTTAACTATGTTACTATATCCACATTAAAATCCGTTGCTAACTTATTTTATTTAGCCTTTTATTCGTAAACGCATAATCTTTTATTGTTATTATTTGTTCTACATAATTCAGTATTATAATCTTTCTATTACGTCATCATGTTTTCTTATTAATTTTGTGTCCTCATGGAATTATTATTTAAATGACAGTTAAATTTACGAGTCAATCTAAGCTAGATCACCAATGAAAACCTGAAAGCACTGGATGGCCGTTTCTTTGCACCTTTGGACTGCTCAACAGTGCACATGCACGGTCCATGAGTGAGACTTAAACCCAAGGCTTTCAGTCTCTCGCACGAATGCTTGACATCTAGACCACTGAGCTGGCACCATATATATATATATATATATATATATAATTTCTATTATAAAATTTCTAAATAGCTTAAAGACTCACCAGTCAAAATAACTAGAGTTTAAATTATCAGAGCAATCATTTTAATTCTGATCTGATTTTCTAAGCACCAATTTTCATCAGTTACTTTGTGGTAATTTTACAAATAACAGTTAAGATTTATTTGCAATTGTTTGATTTCAATCATAATTTGTATTTTTACCCTTACGTAACTAGTTTTAATAATCAATCAATTATGTAAGTTTGTTTTAATTGTAATTTTGCATTTAATGAGCTAATAACTGATTATAATCTTTGAAAATATTACTGAATTGATCTAACATCTTTTTTAATATTTGTGTAGACTCATGACTAGGAACTAAATGAAAAGAAGCATAATTTTGCTTAAGTTGTACATTTAATGTTTCAATAAGGGCTGTTATGCTCGACTATATTCCTAGTTTATTCATA